CCCTCCGGTGCGACATAGAGCGCGAAACCCATGCCAAGGAAAAATTCCTTGGGACCTCCCGTCTCCATAAACACAGTAATGCCCTTGCCTGACGCGCGGAAATAATCCAAATGGCGACGCATCTCAAAGACTTTGGCCCATCCGCACGCCAGGGCATCGATTCGCAGGTGAAGATGTGCAATGCGGGGGTCATGCGCGCCGACTCTGAGGGCGTTGAGCAGGACAGGAAGGGTGAGTTCTGGCGGGCCAGAAAAAGGCAAGCCGGACGGAGAGTCGCTTTCAGACATGGCGCCGCCAATGCGTGCCGTGAGCACAGTGCCCTTCGACAGACGGCCTCTGACTTGGCGGAGCATGCGCCACGATGCACTGAAGCGACGTATGGGGGAGGGACGCTTGAACGGCATTGCGTGTAAGAGCGTGGGGAGTGGGGGTTGGTTGGGGAATTCGTCGGGCAGTTTGAAAGTGGAACCTGAGTCGGTTGCGGCCGGTTTTGTCACGTCGATCGTCGCGGTGGAAGCAGGTGGGGATGTCGAAACTGTTGGTGGTTCTTGCTGCGCGCTCATGGCAAAGCGAGCTGCCGGTTGTGGGCGGATTGGGGACAGCGGCACGATAAAGGTTGTTCGTGTGACGAGTGGGCCCGATGTTGGTACGAGAAAGGCGGACATGGCGAGGGCTTCTGTCGCTTTTTCGGCGATGAAGTCTCTGAAACACTCTCGTACGCGGAATTGGCTACTCGGAGGGTGAGACAAGAGAGTGCTAAAGGAGGTTGTGAAGAACAAGCTTGTTGAAGTGTTTCAGGTGAAGAGGGAGGCGAGACTACATTTGCAGCAGGGATCACGCAGACAAAGAATGAAGGCATTGATGGTCCAGATTTCGCTACATGTCGCTCAGGACATTTCAGATTGGGCCGCCAGGCCATAGATCCAAAGAACAGTGTTCCGCTTACCTCGGTTTGACCATTCAATTTTTAATGCTTCTGGCTGGTACAGTAACACCGGCTGTGAAGAAAATTAGAAGAATTGCCAGCAATTTTACTTCCGCTCGAACTTTCACAGACAACGAAAGGTCGTGTAAATTTACAGTATATCGTATACCCTTCGGTACACATGTTTCGTTTCTTATTTTTTTGACCTTTGCGTGACAACCTCTAAACACCAATGTTCCGCCTAAAACGAAAAAAGAACGGGAACGCTTGCTCTCTCTTCCGGCCTTGTCTTTCTGAAAGGGTCATTTATTTCTTTTTCTATCAAGTCAAGCCTATTTAAAGCCGGTGTATTTTAACCTTCACCAAGTGACTTGGACTCTGCAAACTGTCGATCCTCATCCCCCTCTAATACTTTCCAAACTAAGCATGGCAAAACTATATGAATATGGTTTTCTCCTACAAAGACAACCGTAGTCGAGTCCAACAAGAGCCTCTTTTCGGTATCAGATTCATGGATTTCATTCCTTTCATCAATACGAGTTGCGCTGAGCTGTCAGAAACGGAATCCTCTTTCAAATCACCCAGTCTCATTCAATAACAGCATAATGGAATCGCCTCCTTCGCCCTGCGAGACATATCTTATTCTAACATGAGTGTAATTGATGATTGCTCAAACATGGCGAAAATGGGCATCTCTTTATCATAAAAAAGCTCAACAAAGTAGTCCCTTTCTTTCCCAGGCACATGATCTACCCCCTTTCATAGTCAAAACGCAATAAAACAAACTGCTCTTACGACGCACACCTATGTAATCAGCAACAATTACGCTGCGTAGAGGAAACTGATGAAACAGCTTGCGTCACAAAAAAAAAGTTGCTGATACCGCGCCCATATTGTCTCGTCTATACCTGTGTGCTAGCCTGCGCGTCTTTGTCGTGCAGCTAGGAAGTGGGGTAAGGCCGGTAGGGCCGTTGTAGAGCGATGCTGTGCGGTAGCATGCCCCTCTTTACTATGTGTCGTAAGAGAAGGAGACTATATACTAATCTATCGTAAAGGGATTCAGAACACGAGTGGAGGCAACGAGTGCTGGAGAGCGATATATGCCATGAAAGAGGTGCAAAATGCAATTGTAGCTAAAGTTGCAGCTGTGCATGACACGAAAGAAATGGATGCTCGAATGCTCTCGGAGCGACGGGATGATCCCGGAGTTGCCATATTTGGCTCCACGCCATATTTGGCTACAACCTGTATCACTTTCCTAGACTAGATTCAGCAAATTCCTTCGGTTCCTCCTGTACGCCGTAGGACGTGGCTTGAGTAGCATCGTACAGCTCCTGTGATAGGTGAAGTCGGAGCATGTGTCAAGTTGTGCAACGAACGCCCAGATCCGTTATGTGCAACTGTCACCGTCGTTTTGATGGAATAAAGGCACCTTCTTCGGCATATACACCATCTTCTAAATAAAACTGCAAGAGTAATGAGACCCTCTGCATACTTTGTGTTCTTTCGTGACTACTTCCTGTCCTATCAGAATATGGGATCTGGAGATTGTTACCGTGCTCTGGTAACTGACGGCCTATGTACAGCTTTATTCTTAATCGCAGGCGATTTAAACGTTACGGAGACGGCCTCTTTCATGAACGATCGGGTTTTTGCTTACATCCCTGAGACTAGAAAGCATTGGACAAACTAGAAGACTGTGTCTGCCTGGGGATGTGTAATGGAATGAATCTTGCGGAAAGGCCGGAGATGAAGATATAAGTAGAAGCAATGAGGTAATTCAATAATGAAATAAAATTGAGACATGACTTTGTGAAAATGCAATTGCAAAATGGGCGATGTAAAGACGGCTGTTGTGGAAAGGCAATCCCCTTGATACATGAACAATGCACGTATAAAGTGGGATATTTTGGTGAGGACAAGAGAGATTTTAATTGTGAGGACCGTGGCGGGATTGTGGGCAAAGATTAGAGTGTGCAGGTGTTGTGGGTATGGCTTGGGTGCATTATGATTGTCCTTGTTTTCTTCTCTTCTCAATAGTCCAATGTTGCGTTTTTTTTTACGTTGGAGGTAGACTAGACAAGACCTTTTTAGCCAACAATCTGCGAACATGAAGCACGGAGATCGAGGGCGATGGACAAGATGTGACGGAGAATACAGGCGGGAAAATGCCGAACGGAGAAGCGTCGGTATGGCAGGTGGGGTATATCTAGCAATACTGTGCAGCTTTCGACTTGAAAAAAACCTCAAAATGACTTCCCGACGGTGTGGCGTCGTCTCTCCCAACAGACTAAACCCTCACGTCATTCTAGCATCAATTGAGAGGCGAACGCGAATACATCTTCATTGATTTAGAGAGACGAGTCTTTTTTATTGGCCTTCTCTCCCTCGCCGCTCACCTCGCTCCGGGCTCCACCATGGACGTTTGCAATCGCGCGGAGGAGGGGGTGCCACAGGTACACGGTGTGGGTAGTGAGAACTGACAAGCGCGCAATGGCGCCGATGGCCAGGGCCGGAAATAATGTTGGCGCCCACCCCCGCTCCGAGCCTGAAATTTGTTGTAGTTTTGGTTACGTGCACTCTGTTGCGGTCACTATCGTACAGCAGTCGATTGCTGAGTGGCGCGGGGTCTTGCGTAACTTACCCGAGAGTCTTTTTAGGGTTGTGTGAAAAAGTGGAAGAGTGATGCGAGTAGCGATAGGTGCAAGGTTGCAATGTGCCCCTTGTAACGCCCTGCGCTCGCAACGATAGCTAGAGAGCGAGATGTCTACGGCGCGATGCCTTGGGGCGTAGCAGGGCTGGCCTCGTAGCGCGAGCCTGCCGCAGAGGTGAGTGGACAGCCACCTCTGAGACTGCGATTCCGGGTGCGTAGCCTTGTCTATGCGCACCCGTACCCCGCTGGGTACTGTAAGTACTTCATGGGCCTACCGCCGAGCGAAAAGCCCCACTGCAGCACAGCAGTGATCCTGGTCCATCTGACCAGGAGGTGTGTAGGGCGCAGCGCAGCTGTCGTCGCCTGACAGGGACGACACCGGGCGGAGAGTGCGGATTGCCGCACCCGTTCGGGTTTTGTAAATAAAGGCAGCATGCTGCGTTGGGATCCGGGGAACCCGGGGAGACGCACGCGTTGACTTTGCCCATTCGATTGCCTTCCGATAGATACATCGCTCCTTTACTCTGAGCGCCGCGAGCGCCCTGTCCGACGTAGAAGCGCTTATTACCGAGTCCTGTGATCTGTCACACCCTGATATGCCTGTCGAGCGATCCGTGTTGAAGGTGCGTAGGCAATAGCGCCCTGCAAGTGATGTTCATGTGAACATCACTCGTCTGTGAACAGACTTTGATTTCTGTAGTGTACTGTAGTGTGGAGCGATACCCGTGGAGCGATACGGCCCGTTGCATCTGTGTGTCATTATTGCTTGGCCTTGTTGTTCCGGGCCTAAATGAACATCACATTTTGTCAGCATGGATCAAGACACCACTTTTTATTCAATCCACAGTGACTCCAAGAAAAAGAAGCACGTTCCTGCTTCGCTTTGTGACAAGTCTATCGAGCCCAATGCTAACCTTCTCATAATCCGCTTTGCTGAGAGTAAAGTTGCCGAAGATACCAACAGCACACTGTGTCCATCATCATGGTAGTTCTTGATGAGGGACGGGGGAATGGGGTTGCGAGGGATGCAGCGCGGGCCTGAAGTGTGCGATCATTGGTGGGGCGAGGTCGATGCGTCTGTGGAATGGAGGTCGAGCCAGTGAGAAGACGGATAGAGTTCAGGGATTAGATTTAAAAAGGGCGCCCTGAAAAGAGAGGGAAAGTAAGCACGCTTCTCGTGCGTGGCATTTGAATTAGCGAATGGTGTTCGCAAACTAGAGGTAAATATCATAGCATTCACCGTGATGACCATCTCGACCTGGATCCGCCCAATGATAAATCACGGATCGATGTCGACATGTCAGACCTGGATCCGTTATGACAATTTTGGCAGATTTGGCCCGTGCTTTAGTATAATTTGTACAGATTATTCAGCAACCAACCGGGCCTCCCCGCTGGCGATATTTAATTAGAGTAATATTTTCACCACCTTAACCCGGATCCCACCAGAACATATATACAGGGTGAGTGAGAACTTCTCTCACCCTCGTCCCGCGTACTGCTGTCTGATCTGTCCCGCTGCAACGCCGCAAGTTGGGCTACCGCCTCCGCGTTGTTGTCTTCCTCGACCGCCATCTCGTACAACTGTATCGCCCGATCCGTGTCGCGGGCCACCCCGTCCGCCCCGTCCCGCAACATGTTTCCAAGACACACCATTGACTTGCTCTGCTTCCGTTCCTTGATGTCCATCTCAAACAGCTCCACCGCACGCACCGCATTGCGCTCCACCCCTTCCGCCCCGTCCCTTAACGTCATCGCAAGATTGCAAGTCGCGTTACCGGAATTTCCTTTCGCCATTGCACGATCATACAATGCCACGGCGCGCACCGCGTTACGCTCTACTCCTTGGGCACCTTCTTCCAGCAAAACAGCGAGGTTATTCATCGCATCGGCGTGCTCACCCTTTTCGATAGCGCGCTCATACAGCTCCATAGATCGCACTGCGTCACGCTCTACTCCTTCGGCACCTTCTGCGAGCAAATTACCGAGATTCACCATTGCATCGACGTGCTCACCCTTCTCGATAGCGCGCTCATACAGGCCCATAGATCGCACGGCGTTACGCTCTATTCCTCCGGCACCTTCTGAGAGCAAAAAACCGAGGTTATTCATCGCACCGACGTGTTCACCCTTCTCGATAACGCGCTCATACAGCTCCATAGATCGCACTGCGTCACGCTCTACTCCTTCGGCACCTTGTTTCAGCAAAACACCCAGGTTATACATCGCATCGACGTCCTCACCCTTCTCGATAGCGCGCTCATACAGCTCCATAGATCGCACTGCGTCACGCTCGACTCCCTCGGCACCTTCTTCGAGCAAAACACCCAGGTTATACATCGCACCGACGTCCTCACCCTTCTCGATAGCGCGCTCATACAGCTCCATAGATCGCACTGCGTCACGCTTTACTCCTTCGGCACCTTGTTTCAACAAAGAAGCGAGGTTTGACATCGCCATACAGTTTTCATTCTCTTCGATCGCAGTCTCGTATAGAAGTTTGGCTTGTGGAGCGTCACGACCCACCCCTCGTGCCCCTAGCGAGAAAATAATTCCAAGCTTCATCATGGCGTTTGCGCTTGAATTCTCATCCTGACTTCCCGCATGTTGTCTCTCTCTCGCATACCGAGGAGCCCCCTGTCCGGCAGTACCCAGCACAATCCAAATTCCTTCTCTTGAAGACAACGTCGCGTATTCGCTTATCATGCGTTCCAGTAAAGCCTTGCCAACAAGATCATACGTCATATCGTCACACTCGGTCACCTTTCCTTCGGAGAAAAAGGCCTCCTTTCCAGCACCATCACCTTTTGCTTCCCTCGACTTCACATCCCCGCTATTTCCAACCCCCAAGTCCGAAAAATTGGCAAGCTTGTCCAACTGATTCCATTTCCGGGAACACACAATCGCTTTTCGTATCCATGCATGAAATTTTCGAAGGTTTCCGGCCACGTCAAACCGAATCGCATCTTGGAGCGCATCTACGAACAAATCCACGATCACTCCATCACAACTCTGCTCCATCACTAGCTTCGTAAACAAATCAAACAACTTCTCAAACCCATCGTCACCGCGTGTTGACGTAGATGTCAAGCTTGTATGCAACTTAGCATGAAAGAAAGCTTTGATCATTTGCGCCGCTTCTCTCGAGTTCGATGTCCCTGCATTCATCCTTGTCGACTCCAAATTCGTCAAAAGCTCCACACATGTGCACAGAGCGCCAATGTCATTCCTCTCCAGTGCCGCTACCTTGAGAAGAAAAATGGCCCTCCCGAAATTTTCATGTCCTCCGCCAATCAGATTCTCGGCCTTACGAATCACGTCCTGGGTGTCTTCAGTCTGGTTCGACAGCGCCGTGCCACTTTCCACAACCCTCATGCGTTCTGTAAGCAGTGCTTCTCTCACAATGAGACACCCATCACGGATCGACTCACGCTTTGCTTCTGCATACCCGACAGAGCATCTCCTTCCCGCGATACGGTCGACACTGTAAGTCATTTTCTTGGTTTTCGCAACAAGGGACCCCAG